GTTTATTTGCCTCAGACTGGTTCTCTTTTACACATCTAAATTGGTTGCCAAGCTGTAAAAACTGGGAATTTTTAACTTCAAAAACTCTGGATATATGACTTGTCTTGAAAAATTGCAGTAATCCAGTCACCTTGGGATTTGACCAGCCCACAAAGGAGCTGAGAGAGCTGCTTCTGTCTAGATGGAAGAGGGCTTCCCATGTACCCCATTATCCCCTAATCTCACTCATTCATTCAAATCATCTTCATGACACCGAGAAGTGTTATGAGATTGGGAATAAAATGAATTGTGAAGAATGATGCAGCAGACAGACTTTACATGGAAGTCACTTGATCTCTTTGCTAAACGAATGAAACGTTTTATTCAACAGACTGATCATCTTTGTAACCTGGAAGCAGAAGAATAATGACAACTGTCTCCTGGCTACAGAGGCTTTAGCATTGCGTCTCTTGGACAGTTCTTTGTTGACTCTTGGTCTGGGCAGAGATCAGTGGGAGCATTTGAGTTGCATAGAAAGGAAACCCTTTATACTCCTTCAACTTTTGCTTGGGCCTTTGTTGTGCCACGGCCAATTCTAAGCTGCCAACTTCACCACCATCCTGGGAGACTATATCATTTGTCTCTGCAATTGTATTTCACACTTTTCATGATAATAATATCAACACTTGCCATGATGGGACTTTTGCATTATCCATTGTCTGAATAGTGTGTACACGAGATTGCGGAGAAAACACTGGAGTAATTCTTGTTTTGTGTAAGTCTGTGTATTGACTATGCAAAGGTATTCCACTGTAGGGATCATAACGAGGATACTGCATGGTTTAAGATCAGGGAGGTTGTGCGTCAGGTTTGTATCCTTTCACCATACTTAATCTGTATGCTGAGTGGATAATGCGAGAAGCTGAACTCTATGAAGAAGAGCATGGAATTAGGAGGAAGACTCATTAACAACCTGTAGTATGCAGATAACACAACCTTGCTTGCTGAAAGTGAAAAGGACTTGGAGCTCTTACTGATGAAGATGAGAGAATACAGCTTCCAGTATGGATTACACCTCAACATCAAGGAAATAAAAATTCTCACAACTGGACCAATAAGCCAAATCATGATAAATGGAGAAAAGAAAAGTTGTCAAGGATTTCATTTTACTTGGTTCTATAATCAATAATTTATAATCAATGCCCGTGGGAGCAGCAGTCTAAAAAGCAAATGACATATTGCATTGGGCAAATCT